GAAAATAATATAAAATCTGTCTGGATAGCACCATAACACCCTGAGGCAACACATCAGTTTTAAACTGGAAGAGACTTGGGGCCCTTCCAGGCAGGCCTTATATCCTAGGATCTGATCCCAGGTTTTCTGCTTTAAACTGGATTATATGAGTCCACACTGCCAGATACTCTGGGATAAACAGAAAACCTGGGATCAGATCCTGGGATATATAGCCTGTCTGGAAAGGCCCTTGGTTCTGCATTTCTTTTCAGGCAGTAGGTGTGTGTGGATGGTCTCACAGATTTTTACAAATCCAGTGACCTAGTATATTTTAATAACCTAAGTTATACTTTAAAAATGTTAATTGACCCACTGAATATATCAAACTAAAATTTCATGCATACCATCTTAAAAGTGCTTGCTCCTATATGCATTTTTGGAATTCTGCTTGGATTTAAACTGTGCCACAATTTGTGGATGTTAGTTCTGGATGTTACATAGTCTTGGTCCTAATTTTTCACTGTAATCTTGGGCAATACATGCAAATCTGTTAAGCACCTCTAATGGGGTATGATGATTGTTTGTGCTTTGTCTGCAATATTATACAGTAATAGTAAAGGTTTTTTAAAACTTCTGTTAGACTGTTAGGAAAATGCTTTCATTTTCTTTACATGTTTATGTCTTCTATCCATTATCAATGCTGTTTCCTTTTAAGAAATGCATTAATTTTTTTTTGGCAATTTTTTTAGAGTAGTCTGCCTCTTCTGGGGCTGTATAAACATTATCCATATGATTCTCTGTAAAGGAAAAATTATATAGTGTTATCAAAAGCATATATCTTTCTACTTTTTTCTCCAGTTCAAAGGACCACTACACTTTAATAAGGAAAAAAGCACAAATTGTACATGCAAGGGCAATTTTCATTGTAGTCAACCTCTTGCTGCCATCTAGAGGAAACCTTAAAAATAACACTCAAACCATTTTAATTGTCAGTGGAGTGGAATGTCCACTTTTAGCTCACATATCCCGAGTATTGCACTGTTAAAGTTTTTTATTATTTCAATCTTCCTCTGATTCATGCTTCTTACATTCTGTGTTCTTGTAATGTGTTTTGCGCAGCTTCAGACTTTCTTTTCACCTCTGAACACAACTGAACATCCTTTTGGCTAGAGTCCAGTTGTTTCATTAGCCACAGTATTATGCATACTTGTCCTTAGCTCTACTCCAGTAGCTGGTTGACTGCCATCTGATTTGAGAGTTCCATCTTTTGGCACTATCTCTTCCTTTGTTTCAGATTGTCTCATAGACTTTTTGTGGTAAAATACATTTATAAATGTGTTTGCCTTGCCTCTTTATGCATAGAACATACAAGTGTTAGCTATGGTGCCACTACTGTTGTCTCTGAGATGTCCTTCGCCAATGTCACCCCACACTGCTGCTGTAGCCCAAAAGTTGTTTGGCATATTCAGTCTGACACCACCTAAAGTTTAACTGGCATGAAAGACCCGACTAGTTTAGCCTCTTGCTTTACAAAGGCATGCAATCCCAACATTTCAGAAAGGTAGTGATATTAGTGGAGGACAACGCTTTACAGTGGGATATCATTTTGTAAGCTGCATCGAGTCCTTCGGGAGATGCTAGCGGGGTACAAATAAAGTTTAATAATAATAACAATAATAATAATAATTTTCCCCACAGTGCAAAATGAGTAGAGGAAAAGAAAAACTTACTTGAAAGTACTTTTAGTCACACAGGAAAAATAAGCTTTCAATTTTATAGGTTACTGAATTGGATTATACATTTATGCAAACTTTGTAATAGTGAATACATCCATATAAGACTAGTGTAATCTTGCCTGGAAGAGATTGAGGCTAAGTAGAAATGCTACTGTACCCCAGACTGATATTATCTCAGTAATGATAGATGACGATTTCTGTATTAGGGTTGTTACCTGTTGAAGATCGCATACAATTACAAAGAGTTGTCAATCTTTAAAGCAGAGCTTTCCAAACATTTAATGTTGGTATTACACTTTTGAGACATATAACACAGTAGTTGAGTTGTACAAGTAAATTGGAGGTTAAACCAACACCTTATAAGAGATAAGGGCACAGATATAAATTTTAATAACAAAATATATGGGAACATAATATACCTCATGAAAACCTTTGATTTATATTTTTGAACATATATAATATATTTCCAAATTTTTTGTTATCTCATTAAGTTTGCACGAAACACCTGCACACTGCAGCCAACGCATTAATGTATCAAAACACACAGTTTTGAAAGCTCTGCTTTACAATTTCTCTTGATTCAGTGTTTGTAGATACAAACTGTTTCTTTCTTTTAGGTTAGCAAAGTGCCTTTGGTTTATTGTGTTTTGTATTGTAATAACAACAAAATACCATTGTTGAATAATGTATTGAGAATATGAGTGACATCCCAATCTGGGTTTTTTCTATTCTGTGTGTTTAGCCTGGACTTCAGGTTGAGAAAAAAATGAACATCCATTTAAATATTATTTCCACAACTTTTTACTTAACCCCAAAGACACAAATTTAATAGATTGTAAGTTTACGTAAATGTCTTATTCTTGAGATTGAAGAGTGCAGCACACTGAATTCAGATATGCCACTTAAAGGGCTTTTAGCTTTTACCCTGCCATATATCTATATCTATATCTCAATCACAGAAATAAAGTTTTTAAAATAATATTTTTAAATGGTATATTGATGGCACCTTGAATAAAATATTCAGGATTTGTAAGGAAAACATGCTCTCTTGAAACTTCAATCTCTTAAGAGCCTGTGTATGTGTGTGCCGTATGTGTGTGTGTTTTGTAAACAAAACATTTGTGGATGACATGTTAGCTATTTTTCAAGAAAGTATTCAATATAACTCAATACATAATCATAAAAATTCTCCTCAATCTATTGAAATCCAAAGTGCCAATAACAGAATTAGAATACATTACGGTTTTTCTCACTACTGCCAAATTTGTATTGCTTTACTACAAAAAAGGAAAGGAGCATCTTTATTAAAAGAGGACTAGAGAATGTAAATGGGGTCTGTGGACAAGTTAACAGAAGAAAACAGCAATTACATAAGTTGCCAGAATGAAAAGATCAGTGATGCAGTTTAATTGTCTGAAATACAATAATGTAAGGTTACATTTTTGATTCAGTATGCTTTTTCCTTTATGTACAGTGTTCTTACTTTTTCCTTTAAAAAATTAATATAGCCAAGAGTATTTTCCAATATCTCCTGATTGGCTGATCAATAAAAAATAAAGCAAAACAGTATCACTGTTGGGATTTTATTAATTTGTTGAAAACAGCCTGACTTTCATTTACAAATAAAACAAAGGATCTGAAGGAGGCTGTTGCAGGCAATGATTAGGTATGAGTAAATAAAGTCTCAGGCCAATCTGTTGAGGGTGGGGCTGGACACTATCTGAAAAATCAGGTTTGTCCTTAGACCAAGCACTGCTTTGGGCAAGAGTGCATTTGCTCAGTTTTACCTAGTGGACCAGCTGATTTCTTTCCAAGGGAAGGTGGATTTGCCTGTTTTGGTTCAGGTATTAATTTCCTCCTGATTAGACTACTACTTGGTCTAGTTGGACCATTGTCTGACTCTTGCATTAGAAGCCAAATACCACCCATTTTGAAGTGGCTTCCAGTTTGCTTCTCAGCAAGAATTAAAAGTGTTGGTTTTGAATTGTGTATGGATGTTCCTTCAAGATGCTTGCTGACTTATGGTGACATTTTGTTGTGTTTTCTTAACTTTCTTCCTCTCAAATATTGCCCTCTGTACCTGGTATGCATTGGTGGTTTCCCATCCAAGTACTAACCAGGCCAGATCCTGATAACTCCCGAGATCAGATGGGATCTGGTGTCTTTATTTATGCCATCATAGTTCTGGCCTACAAAGCCTTAAAAGTCACAAGGCCATTAGATCTGAAGTCCACTCCTTCTGTCTGAGCCTGCTTGGAATTTGAGATTCTCGATGGAGGCTCTGTTGCATGTTTCCCATCTCAAAGGGCTAAGTTGGTAAATACGTGATTCAGAGTTTTCTCTGTGGGAGTGCCTTGGTTGTGGAATCCTCCCCCAAGGGAAATCAAGCTTGCTTTATCCCTGCAAAGCTTCTGGCAGACTGCATTGTTTCTTATGGTCTTTGGATGGCTTTTGGGACTATTTTAACAGTTAATCTGTTTTAAATGGATGTCTTTATCTGGTTTTATCTGTTATGCATCACCCCAGGAGCCCTTGTGAGTTTAAGCTGTGATAAATTGATAAGAGTAGGGGAGAGGGGGAAAGATCCACAAAAATATGTGAGTCAAGGACAGAAGGAGGTACAGAGAGTCAATTCATATAATAAAATAAATCTTTATTGTATCTTATTTTCATTGATGCAGTGTGAGTTGCCAAGGATACCAGATTAAAAACTTTTCTCTGTGTGATAGCTGTGGTTCACATGTGTGTGTGCATGCCTCTCCTTGGAAGATTATCAGAAGTTTTTTTTCCTATCCTGTGGACCCCAGTCAAAACCATGCTTGGTCAGAGAGGTCATGTAATTGCATGCATGATCAGTGTAGGATCTCAGCCAAAAGCAGATATGAATTAAACAGGGAAAGACTTACTGATCACAGAAAGAAAAAAGCTTTTTGAAAAAGTATGGTATAGTCTCTCCTGCAAGTGTATTTTAATTTAACTTTAAATATGACAGAGGCTGAAATTTCATGGTTACATGAAACGGAATCCATGAGCTTGCTTCAAAGTAAATGCATTTAATTTGGGGACGGAAGTTTGCATTCCATTCTAAATATGTTTGCTAGTGGACAAGTGCTAAAGTAGCACTATGCAAAGTACAAATACATCTTGATCGTTTGAGCAAAACATATAAATGATGTGCTGTTATTAGAATGGTGAACATGAATTTAGTCCTTGCATAAGAATTTGTTTCAAAGATTCCTAATACTTCTTCAAAAATGAATTATGTTATTTTCTTTCCTGTCCTAGGAGGGGTGTTTGTGGCCTTCTGACAGCTCGTCTTCACGCCAGGGAGCTTCAGAGGTAAGCTTTCAACCTGTGCTTTTCTTACTAGAATAGGGGTAGCTAAACTGTGGTTCAGGAGCTGGATAGTGTGGTTCAGTTGCTTCTTGTGGGTCTTTGGGACCTTAAGATGTCTATTTTATCTCTTGGTAGCTTTTGTAAGCCGCCCTGACACCCCCCCCTCCCCCGGGATGTGTGTGTGTGTGTGAAGGGTGGGGTATAAGTACAACAAATAAATAAATAATCAATTTTCACAAATTCCAGTGGAAAAGCAGTCCCTGTCCCCTATAATTACTTGGAATGCAAATACTACTGAGGGCAAGACAAAATTGGTAGCAGGATAGAAAAATAATAGATTTTAGCATAACTTGCAAAAGGGAGGAGGCTGCTGAGGAAGATTAAAGTGAAGGAAGTACTTGCCAGAAGGATGTGGAAAACTTGGAACATCTGTCAGTGTTGACATCTTGGCTCTCATGGTCGACGTGCAAGAGTTAGGCCCAGACTGCAACGTTTCTGCTCACTTTCTCTTCTCTCTGTGCACCACAGGCCATATTTAGGAAGGGTAAGTCAATTTCCAGGCTTATAGGGGTCTTTGAGGGAAGAAATATATGCTGCTTCATCAGAATCTCCTGCTAGATTTTACTATTGGCTAGGTATTAGATCAGAAGATAAAGAACTCATAGAATAATTTTAAATAAAACATTTCCAACTTTTGATAATTTATATTTTTCTTATGTAAGGGTTTAATTTTTAGGTGAGCTAAATTTAATTTGTTTGTAAATGCTTAAAAACATGCTCATCAGGGCCAGTTTTTAACTTATACAGGTCATTTTAGTAGATTACACAGCCCAACAAAAAGAATTCTTGGTGTCTTGGTTTTTCGACTTGTGTTAATTGTGTGTTCCTGCATTGGATAGTCCTTGACATCTCTTCCAACTCTGTGATTCTCTTCAGCTGTCTCACTACCTTAGTTTATTTAATCATATTATATCAATATATAGCAGAGCCCAACAACAACAAAAATCTTGGTGTCTTTGTTTTTAGACCTGTTTCTAGAGTAACTTGGGGTGCCGGTTCAGAAAATTGCAGTGGATAGATTGCACCACTCTAGTTTTTGAGATATGGTTATCATGATTTTCAAGGAGCGAGCAGATGGCGACTGATATACAATATATGTTCTGTATCTAAAAATCTAGAGCTGATAGGGGAAAACATGCCATTTTTGGAATGAAAAGATAAAATATACACAGAAACAGATCTAAAATTAGAAGTACCAAATTATGTGTTGGCCAGGGTTATTGTTTCCAAATGGACTTGTCTAGGCCTGCTCCGAGAGTTTCTGTGCATAGAGTCTTTTATTTCTGTGTGAACCAATTTTGATTTATTGACTGTATTGATGGATATTTTCTTCACATTGCAGATTATGTATGCCCCACGGTCAAGGGACAGATTTACAGCTCCATCCTTTATGCAGAGGGAACACTTCAGCCGCTTCCAGCCAACCTATCCGTACATGCAGCATGAGATTGACCTTCCTCCTACTATCTCTCTCTCTGATGGCGAAGAGCCACCTCCATACCAAGGGCCATGCACACTGCAACTTCGGGACCCAGAGCAACAGATGGAGCTCAACAGGGAATCTGTTAGGGCACCTCCCAACAGGACTATATTTGACAGCGACTTGATAGACATTACAATGTACAATGGGGGCCCTTGCCCACCAAGCAGCAATTCGGGCATAAGTGCAACCAATTATAGCAGTAATGGAAGGATGGAAGGACCACCCCCAACTTACAGTGAGGTCATGGGGCATTACCCAGGTTCCTCTTTTTTCCATCACCAGCAAAGCAACGCACCTCCTTCGTCACAGAGGGGGAGCAGACTACAGTTTCAGCAGAACAATTCAGAGAGCACAATAGTCCCTACTAAAGGCAAAGACAGGAAACCGGGAAACCTTGTCTAGGTTTCCCTGCCATGTGCACTTGGAGAGAGACAGGAGAATCAAACAGGAGCATGATGAAAGTTTCTATGCCCCTGTGCACAAAATTGTTATAAATTTCATGTGATGCAGTTTTAGTAAAACCAAACGTGCAAAGCTGTTCTTTGTTTCTGATTCCTTTCAGGGGAATTGCATGAAAAGTGGTTTGAAATAATTACAACCTTCCATTCAGTTTGGCCACAAGCAGTGTTTGTTTGTTTTTGTTTTTGTTTTTTTTTGGGGGGGGGGCGTTATATATTTTTTTCACTCTATTTGAATTATTTAATTTTAAGAGGTAACTTAGCACAGAAATATGTCTCGATCAGCCTGGTTTATATTAAGAGAATGATGTTTAAAAAAAGTGAATAAGAAAGGGTTAGTAGATAAAGGGGGCAAAATTGGCCAGTTTGCTTTCCCTTCCCCTCCCAGAGTGCTGGAATTGCATTCTAATTCAACATTTCTGTTGTGTGCCAAGATATAAAGGTGTGTGTTTTTTTAAAAAAAAGAACACTAGATGAATACAAGGAGTTAATTTGTGTTGTGATACAAGTGTGTTGAATTTGCACTATCTTTAAATGTTTTAAATATTATATATATGAGGGAACTGTTTTACATGAAGTTCTTCTATACGTTGTCTTTTCACCTGTGGAATACTGATTATCCTCTAGGAACCCTTTTCAGGACTTTGCCCAGGCTTCTGTTGATCGCCATCAAATTGGGACTGTGGGATTACATGGATCTCTTTACTATTTTGCATAAATAAAAGTAACTGTCAGAAGACGTCAGAAGATGTTACCTTTTGCAATAATTTTGCATTCAAGTAGGCCAGCAGCAAAATGTCTTAGAAACCTATGGGTGGAACAAAGCAAATGTGAACATTACAAAAGTTGCCTTCTTTAGGTGGATTGAGCTATAAGCCATTTGTTTAACTACAGCAGATGACAATGCCAGACACATTTACTTTTTTTGTAATTAATTATATCTTAACTGCTTGTTGCCCCCTTTTTAAAAACAATGCAGTGTTTAACAGTATCTAAAGCTTTTGCAGATTTTTAACTTCACTGTAGTCCATAATATATTCAGTCACCTAGCCTGACATCATACAATAAATGGTTTAAAAAATACAAAATGTTTTTTTTTGCTGTTAAATCACACTTTGTTGTTTTTTTATTATCTTTTGTGTCTTAGTTCTTCAAAAATAATTGGATCTCTATGAGACTTTTTCCCAAACCCTGCCAAGTTTTCAGTTAGTTTGACAGTGTTATAAAGGGGTTCCTTGCAGAGCTTTCACCATTAGAATACTACTGAGAATTGTCTCGGAATATTAATCAATTTTTTTCAGTTGGTTAATTTCATCTTTGTGCATTGATATGATTTTTATGTGAGGTATAAACACCCATGTAAGCTTTTGGGGATCATGCTTGTTTAATTAGAACCAGCTTATCTTATTGAGTGTCATTTTAAGACTGCTCAGTTCTAAAACCACAGTTATGCCAGTTAATTTGCTCTGTAGTCTCCCATTTGGGAATCACAGGCAGTTACTTCCTGTACTTGATCACCTGCATTGCAAGTAAAATAGGTATTTTGAAGGAGAATCGTTGTAAATTTAAAAGCACACACAAAGCACAGCAGGCACTTCAAATGCAGTCAACAAACTGACATTAAAGAAAACAGGGAATCTCTTGAATCTTAATTCTGATATCCCTGCAAGAATGGATGTTTCACTGCAGAAATCTCTGTTTTTATGCTCTTCTGAGTATCATTTTGCTGGAAAAGCTATCAAGTGTACCAGCTATATAGTAGTAAATGTTCTATACATACACCCTTGTTTTCTTTGCTGAAGTTTGGATTTTTGTAAGACGGCCACCACCTGAAAGTTACCATACTTACTTTGAAACCTGATTGCTGGTCTCTGAACTATGCAGAGTTCTAATGCCAAAACATATGTGTTGTGTGTGTAATTAACAAATATCTCTGTAAAGTTTCTCTGAAGTGGCTCATAGCTTGCTTTAGAGCCATTTTGGTTAACAATTATACTCAAAATAGAGAAGCCTATTTTTCCAAGTGTCAGAAACCTAACGTAGTCACAATTTGAACTACTTTTCTTTGATACTTGAGTTTTGCTCAGTTGCGAATTTCAGATTGTCAAACAGCAAGCATAAATATCTTAACATAACTTAATTTTGTGGAACAGCCAAGTCAGCTATCTCAGAGTTCTCAGTGGAGATATGCTTAGTTAGTATTATCTTTTTAACAATACACAAAGGACTTTGGGAAACCAAACAGTCACTTATTCTCTATTGCTTGCCTTTCGTGATAACCAAGTGAGATGTCTCTGAATTAAATCCATAATTGTCAGAAAAGGGATATGCACTGCTTTCCGAGTGTTCCAAAGTCATAACTTATGTTTAATTAACTGATACATACCGAGGGCCTTAATTGAAACTGAGCCGTCAAATTAGGAACTACTGGATCAATAGAGAAGAAGCAAGTGATGGTATCACATTCTTTGGATTCCAAATTTGCCTTCTCAGATTTAAGTTTCATAACGGGTAATATTATCAGCTTTTAATTTAGGCACTTTATGCTTTTACTCTAATATTAACACTTGTACCCTTAATGTACCCAAATTATAACATCAGGGCCAAAACCAGTTTCTCTCTGTTATAATTGCATGTCTGTTTGAATCTTCCTTGAATAATCCCATTCTGTGAGCTTTCTGGGACCATTTTTGTTTAAGTTAAGGGAGGTTTTAACAGCACTGGAGTGTTCAAATCATTATTTCCTTTTGTTACTGTTCTCTCATCTCCCAGAAATGTCTCAGAATCCATAGATAAAAAAGGTTTGCTCAGCTGTTTGAGAATTACTGGTGAATTTATAAGCAAGGTAATAGTAAAGTGCTGCCTTGAAGGTACTTCATTATTTCTTTCATCAACACAATTTCTCCTACCCACAATAAATCTGAACTCCAGTGCCACGGAAATATGAGTTCCGCTGGCACAACCTCCCAGAATAAATTGTTTGCTGAGATGAAGTGACAATGTGTGTTCTCCCCAAGTCAAGGGCCAGTATTGGATCTCAAAGTGAAGAAACTGTCAGGTTGTGGGTGCTGGCATAGCTAGCAATGAGGAATTCTGTCAGTTCAACAGCATCTGGAAGTTTATATTTTTTTCCACTCCAGGCCTTCCTCCAGTTACCCCAAGTAAATGATATCTCTTGCTTGAATCAGTGGAAGTTACATCAGTGTTGACTTATCAAGTTCCCAACTCTACTGCAGTTGGGACTAGCAGGTAAATTTATGCCATGGTGCATAATAAAGAAGGCTAGTGAAGTTTTTCCCCCACCTAAAATAGTCTGTCAAATGTATACTTCTTTATATCTACTACACTATATCCTTTCATAACCCCGAAAGTCAGCCATTCTGCTTTGCCCAATATGAGGGCTGATCCTTTCCAATGGAAAGCAATTCTGAACAAGAAAGTTGCATTTAGATAATAAAGTGAATATGATAAATGAACTAAAATTTAGGATTATTAAAGAGAAAACAGCTTCATTTCATAGACAGATTCATTGTTTGTCGCTATCTGAAAGGAAGAGGGTTTTTTCCCCCTTGTACTTGTGTAATTTGTGCTCCCAAAATAACAGACTATATACATGAAAAGGAACAGGTTGAGCATTCTTTATCTGAAAAGCTTGGGACAGGAGTGTTTTGGATTTTTTCGGATTTTGGAATATCTATTTGAATGTGCATACATAAAGCGATGTTTTAGAGATATGGAGCTGAGGTCCAAACACAAATTCAACTATGTTTTCTATATACCTAATACACATAACCTGAAAGTAATTTTATACATGGTATTTTAGTAATTTTATTCACGTTACAAAGTTTGTATGCCTTGAATCATAAAAAAGTTAAGGGGCCACAATTTCAGCCACCCATATCAACAGTTTTGGAATATTTCAGATAAAGGATGTATTAAATCTTCTGGATCCTTTCACTTAAGAGTTGAAGACTGCACAATTTGTGAACACTTGGTTCAATTTTTAAAATCTCTTAATGTTTTTGTTTTATCTCTTATTGTGAATCATTCATAGTGCTGTCTTTTTTCATTGTGGAGAGAGGAGAAAAGGCTGCATTGTTGACAGAACTAAGACTTTAAAATGCTTATATATAAAAGGTAACAATCTAACCAGTTCTGGTTTTTTCCTTCTTAGAATGAATAGACAGTACTAGTTTGTCCAGTAGTTTCCCCTGAGAATGTAAGAGGAAGAAGAAAAGATTGGACTAATTTCATTGTCAAATGTTTTCTAAAGCACATCTTCAGATAAAGAGGGTTTTTTGTGAGATGGAGTACATTGGTTTCTAGAATAGTTACTTCCTTTGAGATCAAGTTGCTGTGAAGATCTTCTGTGATCATAACAGTGAATGTGGGCAGAAATGGAAGTATAAATCTCAGTGGTAAACTTTGGCAACCAAAGGATAAACCCACCCGTCCAGGGCAGTGTCTTTTACAAGATTACACAGAATTGTATCTAGCCTGACATTTGTTCTGATAACAACAAAGTCTCAAGCATTTAAATTGCTTAAGACAACCATGGGATATATGCCTCAGGTCCTTGATCTGTTTCTATCTACATTGGCTATTGATTGGTATAAGGATATGCGTGACAGGGTCTTGCACACCCCCTCTCCCCAAAAAACCCATGAAACTTTAGTTAACTGTATGCCAGAAAATTATGAGTGTGAGAATTAATATCCACACGTGTTAAGGACGGTTTGGGGAAATGTGTTAAAATATTTGGGGATGATGATGATGATGAGTATTATTACTGCGTGACTTATAGATGCAGACATTCTGTTAAATGTCCATGCTTTTTAAATGTGCGAACAAGTTGTACAAGCTATAAACATGTTAAAGGACAGGCAAGTTACATTATCAAGTACAGTAATTCCGTTTTCAGTCAGTTTCCAATAGGATGGCTAAAGGTGTTCTGCAAGACATGTCAGTTAAAATCATTTTTCTGCAACTATTAAAATTCCAACCTTGATTTTACTGGACTGTAAAATGCTCCAGACTTTAAAAGATGTTACCACCTTGTGGTAACATGAAATAATTTAAATAATAATTTAAAAGGAAAAACATTCCTTCATTTTTAATGTCCTAGGTTCATAACCTGATATTATGGTAAGGGACTATCAATTATGAGTTGGTAACAAATTATCAAGATGCAAAAATATTTTGTATAGTTAACAAATAGAATATAAACCCTTTCATGTTCCAAAACCTAGCCTTTACCATGATTCTAAAAAAAAAAACAAAAAACCCAGAAGACCTATTTTTACTACCTCTCTCCCAGTAATGGACTACTGGGATTTGAAACCTATGCACAGGAACAGTCAAATACTACAATTAGAATAAAGTGAAAGATATTTACATTTGCATATAAGCTCCATCATTAACTGATCAATTTTTATTTTCAAACCTTTGAATTTATTCCAGTTGCATCAAAAGAAAGGAAGGTTCTCTTTTTTATGTTGTGGGCAGAGGGATGGACACCATGGAGCATTAAGGATACTTTCAGATGGGTCACTTTCTGCATCTGGAGTAGGAGTGTCACACTCATTTTCACCAAGGGGCATACAAGCCTTATGGTTGCCTTCAAAGGGCCATTTATAATCCAACAACTGTATAACTATAACTATTGCCCTGGCATTCACAGTCTCTCGGGCCACATAAAATAACATGGTGGGTTGGATTCGGCTTATGGGTGTTGGGCTTGACAAACG